TTTGTGGGCCAAAATGGTGAGCAAGACGGAAAAAATGTGATGTGGAGCCACCATTAAAGTGGGTCCATTTTGATAGTAATGTTGAATCCAATTTCAATCTGATTTGCAGCTCTGAGATGTGGGTTGTTGCTGCACACAAGTTACCTTGGGGTTTGCTTTACAATTGGAACCTTGCGGACATCCCTTGTCTAGTACTTACTTCATCTTCCATGGCCACCATATTTGTTTTAGCATTGCCCCAGAAAGAGGACATCTCCAAGAACACAAGGAAAATTACAAGAGGAAATAAACACATGAATAAGACTTCATTAATTAAGACTTCATTAATTAAGAAACGAGCTGGCTGATCTTACATAAGCTTCACACCACAAGGGATGAAATCACAGCTAAATAATTCTATTATGTTGAGCCAGCTGAGTATAAATTATGCAGCTGAGAGAATTGAGGGTTTTGGGTGGAGAATTCGGATTCAAGCAGTGCAAGATGTGCATATACTTTATCTTATGAAACAAGCAATTGGAAAGATGTTAAGAGGAAGCACTGAGATCTTAATGGATAGATGAACTTATCACTTCTTGTGATAGTAGAATTATCCTACATCTATTTAAACCTATGTGTAGATATCTACAGTATAATTCTTAAATTACGTCTTAGTTTTTATCTGCATCATCTTTGTCACCTTCACCATCTATTTCCTCTACTGGCTTCAGATTCATCATGAACCTCCAGTTATCACCTTCTGCAATTTCCCATTGTTTCTTTAGTTCATAGATTGCTTTGGATGCTGCGACAGCTACAGCTGGGTTGCTGTCTTCTGCTAGTCTCTGCAAGGATAAATCAGAAACATTGAAGTTGCCACCGTTATGGAAAGAAAAAAAAAAGGTACCTATCATCATTTGTATGAGGGTTAGAAATAAGCAAATTAGTACCTGCAATGCTCCCATGCCTGCGTTTCCGAGGGTCCACATGGATGGAGCTGCTGCCAGTGCATTAGCCAATGCTTGTCTGCACCAGTGGAACAAAGAGGATAAATGAATAACTCAACGATCTGGAATCATGTGTCAATATATCTCTAGAGGAGAGATATGGTTACCAATTAGGGTATGCCTCAACCACAGGAAGGGGTTAAATTTATTATTTTCTAAATCTATATATGAAACCTAGAGCCAAACACTTGGATGTGCAACAGAAATAGAAAGAGATAAATTACTTAACAGGACGGACGGAAGCAAACATTCAAGGACATCATATATCAAGAAATAGTCAGAACAAACCAAATGGCCAGAACACAACTGACAAGTGACAATCTCTACACAAATATGTGAGCTGATGCTCTAAATGAGAATTAGAATCATGAAATAGTGCAAAACAAATTCATATTATTCATCCTAAGTAGTGCAAGTCAGCAATTGAGATATAATCCAGCAAGATAAAAACTATAGTGACTTCTGGATAAATGTGGATGAATGTTCTAAGGTAACATTTCTAAAAGCTTGAAAGGGTTCGGTATTTATAAAAAAATTTAGATTTCCTGTCAGATTTCTTCTTTTAGGAAGACACGGCTTAGCGTTCCTATAGAGAAAACAGACACTAACACTTTATTCATGAAGGTGATTAACTAAAGTGAGTTACAATTCTAAATGAAAAACGTACATGCTATTGTTAGAAAGCTTACCTCGTACGGACATCCGGAGAACTCGAACACTCTGCCAGCAATGAAACACTGCTTTTACCATCCATTGCATCAAGATCTATAAGAGTTGTGATTAACAACTCCAGCTGCTCCAGAAAGGAAAGAGCAAGTAAATAAACAAATATTGAAACTAATGTTAAATCAAATGTTCATCAGATAAGGAATACAAGTACTCATTCAGACCTCTTCAGGATCCGTGTAGTCAATTCCATCAGCTTCAGAGAGTGCAGATGCTATACTCCAGTAAGCTTCCTGTACGTCATCATAAAATGATCTAGATGTTATGCTTCCTGATGCAACTGATTAAGGAAACAATAATGAAATAGCAATCAGAAAGGACCTGAATAGCATTAATGCGGTCAGTAGACACTTCACCATTAAAGAAATCAAGGGTCTTCCCATTTTTCTCAAGCATTATGTCATCAGCTGATAGTGAACCTTTTTCCCACTGTGCTGGACTGGATAAGACACAACATACATATGCACACAAAAGGTTAAAATTTTATGGCTTGAACACATGATACTCTTAAAACATTTAGAGAGGATAACAAAGTATTAAAACAAAAAACTGGGGGAAACTTGTCCATATACATTAAAGGAACTTACAACTTGTACACCTTGCTCACCATCATGTCATGAATATTTTTCATAAACTGCAATACCGTAAAAAAAAAAAAAACATAAATTCCATGGAGGCATAGACATTTAGGCATTATTCTTAAGCTTTGGGGCACATAAGGTTTATATATATAAAGAGCTGAGTGCATTATCCAACACCATAAATTGCATCTTTGATACATACATTATCCTATCACAACATAATCAGCATGATAGGCAAAATATATAATTGACCCTCTCACCTCCAAAGCCATTAGGGCATCCTCCATTGCACGCTGCTTAGCACGGAAGTCAGCACGGCGCAGATCAGCCTGGAAGAGAGCCAAAAGGCTACATCAGGGTTTACTACCTCCTGTATTGTTTTACTAAACTACTAGTAAACTATGTTTTCAGACACAATTCTAAGCACTTTTGCAGATCGTTTAATTTCTGCCTTCCA